TTTTTTAGCAATTAGTAGAACACGATCTTTCTAATCTTTGATGAAAATAAGTAATCAGGTTTTTGTGGTTGGCTTGAAGTTGAATATATGTAATTTCGCTGTTGATAAGAAGTTATGCACATTTCACTTTTTCACTCCTTTAGACTTGACAGTTGGGCAGTGCAAACTTGGTTCTGGGTCTGGACAAGCTATGGAAGCCTCCATCAAATCGCGACTTTTTGCCGTGTGTAGAGCCTAGTTCGAATTATACATGTAAGAATGATCCTAAGTTGATCTTGTTCCAAACGAAAACCCCTTGTACTTATTCTCTGAACTTTTATCCGCTATGCAGCTCCTGGGGAGTCACGAGGTTACCTTCTAGTTCATACAAATGGGGGACTCAATCAAATGCGTGCTGGGGTTTGTACCTGTCACTACATTATTATAGTACCAATAATTATTCCTCTCAAGTGTTTTGGCATTTTTCTTTTTGCTAAAATATAATTCTTATTGAACCAGTACATATGATGTTAATAAGAGTTCTCAAAGAATAGTTTTACTTCCTGAACGTTTATTCCTTTGTCATTTATCTATATTCCAGTTTGGAATGTTATCTTCATTTCATTGTGGACTGTTGTCTCCCTTACATTTTGGCTGTTTTGTTTCTTTACCTTTCAATTTAGTCATTCAACCCTCCCACTCACTAAAGTCAAAATTTTGGCCCACTCTCATTTTATGCTATTGACTATGCATCCAATTGTATTGTAAAAACATGGGTGCTTGGAGGAGGGATTCTAAAGCATTCAGAAATTAGCCCTAAATCTTATGATTTTCATGGTTACCTTATGGAAAGCCTAATTGCCACAGTATCCATACAACGCTTTGAAAATTCTTGCTTATAGTTCTGTCCTGAAATTTGTATTCTGCACATTATGTAAGTATATTGTAGATCCCAGAGTTGTTACCAAGTCCTTTTGCGTTCATTATGTTTGAATACTTCTTAACTAATCTATTGAAGTTTTGGTCTTTAACAACTATTTTCATTCTTGAATTGCAGATATGTGACATGGTAGCTGTAGCTCGCATTATTAATGCTACCCTTGTAATTCCAGAACTTGATAAGCAATCTTTTTGGCAGGACACTAGGTTTCCTCTTGTTCATCTTTTTTTTTTCCCCAAATGTTTTTCCTTTTATTTGTGGGTTTTCCTTGTGTCACGTTGCCCAGTCCATGATTGAGTTTATTTTATTTTTGTAATCTCCAGCAATTTCTCAGATGTTTTTGATGAAGATCATTTTATCAGTGCTCTTTCTATGGATGTAAAAGTGGTAAAAAAGCTTCCTAAAGAATTGGCTTCTTCTTTGAAGATAGTTAGGCATTTTAGAAGCTGGTCAGGTATGGATTATTACGAGGAGGAGATTGCTACCCTTTGGGAAGAATTTCAGGTATTTCTACTTCATTTGGATCTTGTTAGTGCAAATCCCAGTTATTGTTCTTCATTAACTAATGTGGTGCAATTTCTTGTTAGGTTATTCGAGCTGCAAAATCTGATTCACGATTAGCAAACAATAATCTACCTTCAGATATACAGAGGCTCCGTTGCCGTGCTTGTTATCAAGCCCTCCGTTTTGCACCTAAAATTGAAGCCTTGGGAAAAGTAATATTCTGTTATATTCTTTTTTTGCTGCTGGAGTAATCATATCCCATCTTTTAGTCATTATAAATAGTTATAATGTATGCTGTAGTTATTGGTGGATCGAATGAGGTCTCATGGTCCTTATATTGCTCTACATTTACGATATGAGAAGGACATGCTTGCGTTTAGTGGATGTACACATGATTTATCTCCTGCTGAAGCTGATGAGCTGAGGATGATTAGGTACAAAACCCTTTCTATATCCTTTATGTGGTTGGTTACATTGTACACTCGTAACTACTGGTGGTGTGTTGAGTACAATGCCTGATTCCTCTTATTTTCTTTCTCTTCTTCTTTTGCCTTTTTCGTGGTGGTGGTGTTGGGGGACACTTGCAGAGAAAATACTTCATATTGGAAGGTAAAGGAGATAGATCCTTTGGAACAAAGATCCAAAGGGTTCTGCCCATTAACACCAAAGGAGGTCGGAATATTTCTTAGTGCACTTGGCTACCCATCAAAAACTCCTATATACATTGCAGCTGGAGAGATTTATGGTGGCGATTCACATATGTCCAATCTTCAAGCACGGTACCCATTACTGATGAGCAAGGTATCAACATTTACTGCAACTTTTTCACCTAAAGTTTCTTAATCTAAAAAACTAGAACACTGAGCAGCGTCCTTTCGAAAATTTAATCGATAGCTTTTGTTCATGAAAAAGGTTCCATGAACTTAAAGAACTCAAATCCAACGTCCTATTAGCTATGCTAATTTGATCAATAGCTTTTGTCTAGTAAGTATGTGCAATGATAGCTTATTTTCTTTTTCTGAAAATTACAGGAGAAATTAGCATCTGCTGAGGAGCTCGAACCTTTTGTCAATCATGCATCTCAAATGGCTGCCCTTGACTACATTGTGTCTGTTGAGAGTGACGTTTTTGTTCCTTCATACTCTGGGAATATGGCCAGAGCAGTCGAAGGTCACCGGCGATTTCTTGGACATAGGAAAACTATATCTCCTGACAGGCAAGAAAGTTGACATTAAAAGCATCTTCTGCTTTAACAACCTTTCAATTGCTTTCACTGAAGCTGTTTGTGTCATCTTGTTATTGTCTATCAGGAAAGGGCTTGTTCGTTTGTTCGACAAACTTGATCAGGGAACAATGAAAGAAGGGAAAAATTTGGCCAACCGAATTTTTGAGATGCACAGGAGAAGGTACTGCTTATAGCCGTGTTTTTCTTCTCATATTATTAGTTAGTCAATGGGATAGTGTTAGAAATTACGAATCTCCACCCGGGTATGATATTGTCGACCACTTTGACGACTTTGAGCATAAACTCTTATGACTTTGCTTTGGACTTCTCTAAAAGGCCTCATACCAATGTAGATGTATTCCGTATTTATAAACCTATGATCAATCTCTAAATTAGTCAATGTGAGACTCCCTCCCAACAATCCTCCCCTCGAACAAAGTATACCGTAGAGCCTCCCCGGAGGCCTATGGAGCTCTTGAATAGCCTCCCCGTAATCAAGGCTGGACTCCTTCTCTAGAGTCCTCGAACAAAGTACACCTTTTGTCCGACACTTGAGTCATTTTTTACTACACCTTCGAGGCTCACAACTTATTTATTCGAATGAGGATTCTATTGACATGGCTAAGTTAAAAGTATGCCTTTGATACCATGTTAGGAATTACAAACCTCCACAATGACATGATATTGTCCACTTTGAGAATAAACTCATGACTTTGCTTTGGGTTCCTCAAAAGGCCTCATACCAATGAAGATGTATTCCTTACTTATAACTCCATGATTATTCTCTAAATTAGCCAACGTGGGACTCCCTCCCAACCATCCTCAACAGTTTAGTATATTTTATAAAGAAAAAAACACCGAGGAGCAGCTGTTTACCTTTTGACTAATTTTTACCGTACAGCCACCCGTCATGAATAACGAGTTCAAAACTTGTATTTGATTTTGCTCTGAAACCTGTTTTCTCAGGCAAGGCTCTGCGAGGAAGAGAAAAGGCCCCATTTCAGGAACCAAAGGCATGGACAGGTTCCGCTCAGAAGAAGCCTTTTATGTTAACCCTTTGCCAGATTGTTTATGTCAAAGAGAAATACCAACTGGAAACATGACCATTTTCAGATAGTTCAACCAAATAGCAATATAAGATTCACCTAGAGTAGGATGTATAGGCAGACGACCCGTCAACCCGGTCACTGGCTGTACATCGTTGCAGTCAGCCAGAGCGACGGAGTGTTTATAACCGAGTTTTGGTAGTCGGCGGTGGTATAAGAGGTTGAGGGACGATTCCTTTACGCAGAGGGGTTACTAAGTCTAATTGTTTCCATGCTATAGTAATTTAATACAATAATGAGGTAAGAATTGAAGCAATTTTATTAATTTCAATGATGCAAAATTCACTATAGTTCCTTTAATGTAATGTTGCACTGTTTTTAAATGCAACGTAGGTTCTTTTATCGGCTGCCTAACTTTGTAGTAATTATATGAAGCCCTGTTTCGGCCATGGATGAACAAATTATCACCATATTAGTAGTGTTCATTGAACTCGAGCATTCGTAATATTGTTACGTATTTGAATGATTGTACAAAACTAATTTTAAGCCAATATGGTAAGTGTTGAAAATACTATTAAAATTTGTTTTTTTGTAATAATAATAAGTTAACTTATTTTATTATTGGTCAAAATAGTTTTAATACAATTTTACTAGTTTAGTTCTTTAACTTTTATGTTTGTGTCGATTCAGTCAAATAGTATAAGGTTATGTGTTTTGTAACCGCCAAATATTGTTTCTTCGACTTTTTTTCAAGATTTTTAAAAGGCATTTGCTAGGGGAGGTTTTCATACCCTTATAAATAATGTTTCGTTGTTTTCTGTTCGTGGGATTTTATAATTTACCCCTTTGGGGTCCAGCGTTTTTTCTGGCACTTGTTTTCCTCTTTAATCGATGTGGGATCTCATAATCCACCCACCTTCAAGACCCATCGTTTAAGTTAGCACTCGTTCCTCTCTCTAATCGATATGAAATCTCACATGTTTTGTATTTATTAGGTCTCGCGGATAAAAAATTAAAAATAAACTGATTTATTAAATATAAAATTAAATTTAATGTCTAATAATACAATAAACTTATAGATTTATTTTTTAAAAATATTAATTAGGTCAATAAAAAAAAAATTAGGCGGTCACTTACCTTTCAAAATTTTCTAGCGTCCCAGGGACCAATAAAGAACCGCCACGTCATTTTCACGATCCGTATGGTGTTCTGGAAAGAGCATCTTAACCGTCCGATTAAGTACAAAGCAGCACAGTGACGGCCAATCATATCCATCCGCTCGGACGGGGAGCGCCGTCCTATATAAAGCGCTTAATTCATTTGTTTTCGAATTAAATCCCAATCTATTCGAGCTCCTCAATTCTCTCTCGGTTCTCAAGCGCCTCTTCGCCGTCCAGGTTAGCTTCTCTTCGCCTCCTTAATCTTCCTTTTCTTTTCTTGCAATTGCTTGGTACGATCACTTTCGATGTGTTCTGGTTTTCTGCTCAAATTCTTTCTAATAGATTATAATTGATGATTAGCTTTACTTTCTGGAGTCGATTTGGTATGACTACTTCTTTTGAAACCTAAACATAATAATCGAAGAATTCGTCCAAAGTTTTCTGAAGGAGTAGGAAGAAGTAGGTTAAATCTATTAGTTGCCTCGAATTCGTCAAAAGTTTTCTGAAGGAGTAGGAAGAAGTAGGTTAAATCTATTAGTTGCCTCGAATTTATTGATTATAGAACAATCGTCAGATGTTCTTGGTCATTCTAATTGGGAAACGGAGCGGAACGCGATTTTAATGAAGTTGTTTTAGCAATCTGTTTTGTTTTGATTGAGCGACGTCTATGCAGATGGCTCGTACCAAGCAAACCGCTCGCAAATCCACTGGTGGAAAAGCTCCCAGGAAGCAGCTTGCTACTAAGGTATGAACATGGAAGATTGGAACCTAAATTCTCAATGCTCATTGACATTTGTTTCTTAACCTTAACCCTAATATAATTGTCGCCATTACCAATATTTTCATAGGCTGCGCGTAAGTCCGCCCCAACTACTGGAGGCGTGAAGAAACCACACAGATACCGCCCAGGAACAGTTGCTCTTCGGTGTGTAACCTTTTATCTATAATCTTGTTCATACGACAGATCATTAATGGTTATCTTGTTCATACGAAATCTCATGGCGTCGTTTTAATGTAATGTGTTGCAGAGAAATTCGCAAGTACCAGAAGAGCACAGAGCTTCTAATTCGCAAGCTCCCATTCCAGAGGCTTGTTCGTGAAATTGCACAGGATTTCAAGACAGATCTGCGGTTCCAAAGCCACGCGGTTTTGGCTTTGCAAGAGGCGGCTGAAGCTTACCTGGTTGGGCTGTTCGAAGACACCAACCTCTGCGCCATTCATGCCAAGCGCGTTACAATAATGCCGAAAGATATTCAACTTGCCAGAAGAATTCGTGGGGAAAGAGCTTAACCAGCTTCCCAAATTACTCGATGCATCATCAATATAATATTTTTCCTGTGCTCCAATCTCAACCGATGTGTAAAAATTGAGCTTTTTGCAACTATAAACACAATCTTAGTTTAACTTTGAATGTCATAGTTTGTGAAGTTCAAATGCGTAGTTCATCGATTCTTCCAATCAAATTGAGTTTGATCTTTAAATTTCTTCATTCATGATCGTCAAAAGTATGCAATGAGAAAAAAGAGATCAAATTTCTTCATTGTCTTATTGGATTGGAACATAATCATTGAAGAAACAGGGGATAGTCGCATCAACAAACTTGGCTGAAATTGGATTTTGAATAAAAGACCAAAAACCAGCCGGAAATTATGAACTCAATTGTTTGAGGAGATAGTTTATTTGGAATTTAAGGGCAGCGTGTGGCTTAACTCCTACAGTGGACCTGGGAAGGTGCCGTTCTCCCTTTGCTCATTCCACCTCTCTACCTGCAACAATTATCACAACACACAGCTTTAGTAATGAAATGAAACACGCACACGCACACGCATACACATCGAGTCATTTGAATGCATACCCATTCAGTTGGGCATAGAGAACGATAGTATTTTGCAAATTTGTCACACTCTGGAGCACCTTCCCCTTTCGCTTGTATGCATCTGTACGCATCACAAAGAAGCTTCAGCTAACCATTTGAATTCTGGGTCAAAACAATAGAAAAGACGTACATTTACCTTGTTTTTTACGTTTAAGAAACATATGAATTCTTGACCAAAAGAATAGCAAAGACGTATATTTTACTTGCGACGTTTAAGAAACATTTGAATCCTTGGCCAAAACAATAGCAAAGATATACAATTGCCTTGTGTTCGACTTTTAAGAAACATCTGAATTCATGGACAAAACAATAGGAAAGACATACATTTGCCTTGTTTTCGACGTTTAAGAAACATTTGAATTCTTGGCCAAGACAATAGCAAAGACGTATATTTGACTTGTTTTCGACTTTTAAGAAACATTTGAATTCGTGGCCAAAACAATAGTAAAGACACACATTTGCCTTGTTTTTTACTTTTAAGAAACATTTGAATTCTTAGACCAAAACAATAGCAACAGCAAAGACAATGAAATCTACAGGCTTAACACTAGTAATTATAAGATTAATTCTCAAGATTCAGAAGCTTATCAAATAAGGCCTAAGAAGAGACAAGAAATGAAGAAAAGAATATTAAAAATTACCTATGGTACTCAATATAGCGAGTGAAGCAATGCCTAGTTTGATTTGTAGTAGGGAACCGGAAATCTGCTGGAGCTGTTTCAAGCTGCAAATGAGCAAACCAAATAATATGAACAAACAAACTAAGAGATGCCTTAATAATGTCATGAATTAAAAAACGAACGATAGCATTGTTGATCATCAGTGTCAGTAACAACCTTAATCTCAGGTGCCTCATTGCTGCTTTCTTGATCACCAGAATTTTCCTCGTCTCTGGCTCCGCTGCTTTCTTGCTCAGCAGCAGCTGCCGATGCATCTTCATTGTTTTCATCGACAGGAGTGTTGTCACCGCCTTGATCAGCAGCATCGGCTTCAACAGGTGGGTCGTCATTCTTCACAACAACTTCTGCAGGAGGAGGAACATTTTCTGAGTTCTCTACCTCTTTCACTTCAGAGGGCTCTGCTATATCCACCTTCTCCACTTTATCTTCCAATGAATATTGCTGAAAGCCAAATTAACAGAAAGTTATCCCCAATTCTCAAATATGAACATTATGATACTGACTTTGTAAAAGAAAAGAGGTCAGTCTCTATGAAATGTTCCTCTAGATGAGCATGACAAATCATCGTAGAGAAGTCACATGGTAAAATGTAACAGCTCAAGCCCATCGCTAGCGGATATTGTCCGCTTCGGCCCGTTACGTATCGCAGTTAGCCTCACGGTTTTAAAACACGTCTACTAGAGAGAGGTTTCCACACCCTTATAAATAATGTTTCGTTCCCCTCCCCCAATCAATGTGGGATCTCACAATCCACCTTCTTTTGGGACCTTTGGGACCTAGCATCCTCGTTGGCACACCGTTCGGTGCCTAGATTTGATAACATTTATAACCGCTCAAACCCACCGCAAGCAAATATTGTCCGCTTCGGCCTGTTATGTATTGCTGTCAATCTCACAGTTTTAATCACATCTATAAGGAGAGGTTTCCACACCCTTATAAAGAATGTTTTGTTCCCCTTTCTAACCGTTGTGGAATGTCACATAAAACTCACTAAATATTAACTTTGAATTCATTGAGATTCCTCACGTAAACCAAGCAGCTCAAGCCCGTTTCTTTTCTTCTCTCTTTTCTACAGAGCAGTTCGGTGAAGCCATAGCTAAATCAAGAAACGATTTTCAGCGGGAAGATATGATCCTTAATGATTCTCAGCTTCCATTCCAATGCAAAATCAGGCAAAAGGTTGAGCTCGTTGATAAAGATCTTTCAAACTTGGTGAAACACATTGATCTTTTAACAGCAAATAATAAACAGACAGTAAATTAAACCCACCAGAACTCGAAGGTGAACAACCTGGCAATCCAATCATGCTAAAAAAACTCAGTATTATTTCATATGGAACCGGGGGATCTAATCCAGAGAATTTACTACCGTTCTTCAATTATTTCCTCAACACTAAGAAGTTCGAATTTACAACAGAAAAAAACACCACGTATCTTCATAATTGAAGAATTCCTGCTGTATAACATTCGATCTATCAAAATCAATCCTAAATCGATCTAGATTGTAAAAAAGAAGGAAAAACGAAGCTAAAACAAAGATTTAGGATTTACGAAGAAATTCGAGACTGTTAAAGCTCTAAAAAAAAAAAAACTTAAAAAAAACCTCAGCTAAGGACGGGGCTTTTTCGCTCTGCGCTTCCGCCATGGATGAAAGAAGAAGAAGCGATCCGCTCCAGTTGCAGCTAGAAACGCAACGATTGGACAACAGAGGCGGCAGCAGGAAGGGCAAACGAAGGAGGAAGAAACTCTAACTCGTTGGTTAGGTTAAGATTGACCATACATTGGTTACGATGATTCCAGCAGAATCGAAAGAGCAACTGCGGTTATCCAATCACAACTTACCACGTCACTCGTTTGGTTTAGATTATGGGCTTTAATGGGCCGTATATTTTAACAAGGGCCCAACAAGTACAAATTATAATATTGTAAGAAAATAAAGATTAGATAATTAAGATAATTAATCTACAAAATAAAAAGTGGAAAACTCTAAGACTTTTACATGAAGTCTAGACATTTGTGAGAATTACCATTTTAGTACAATCTTTTTTTTTTAAAATTAATTTCTGGTTATATTTTAAAATTAATTTTGGTGCAATTAAATATTTTTCTTTTTCTTTTTCTTTGGCCTCTTCTTCATTTCAGACTATACCGACCACTAGTGAATGTAATGGCAAGACAGCAAAAACAAACCCTAAGCTCGAGTAAAAGTAGTGGTTCTAGGTTTGAATGAGCTTCAACCTCGACCATTTCAACTTTGTGAGGTCCCACATCGGTGGGAGAGAAAATACGAAGCATAAGGGTGTAGAGACCTTTCCCTAGCAAATGGGTTTTATAATCACGAGGCTGAGGACGATACACAATAGGCCAAAAAGACAATATTTGTTAGCAGTGGACTTGGGTAGTTATAAATAGTATCAAAATCAGACACCGAACGGTGTGCCAATGAAGACGATGGGCCTCCAATGAAGGTATATTGTGAGGTCTCGTATCGGTTGGAGAGAAGAACGAAGCATAATAGTGTGAAAACCTCTCTCTAATAGACGCATTGTGAAACCGTGAGGCTAACGACAATGCATAACGAACTAGAGCCAGTGAACCTAAACTATCCCTATATTAAGCAAGGAAACCATTAGTATTACACCTTTTTGGAGTGTCAAGGATTTCTTTATCATAAATAATCATTGCATTGTTGGGTGGACCAACCCTTTCCTTTGAGCTTTCAACAATGGTGCCAGTCTTCCTCTTTTCCCATCTTTCACTTTCTTACCTAATTTTGAACAAAATAATGCATTTGTTTATTTCTTTTACAATACAATAATAATAATTCATAGATTCCCACTGAATCTTTCACTACTACCAAGTAGAGGCCTCATCATCTTTATCACCTAATGTCTCAAGCCTTTATACTTCCATCACTCTTTATTCTTCAAAATACAACTCATCCTTCAAGTATTTCTTTTTTTCACTACTTCAAAGCACACCCTATTCAACAAAGATGTCATTCACAACCATAAATCATCATCAAATCTACCGCTCAAGTCCCCACCGCAGGCATATTGGATTTTTTCCTATCGGGCTTCCTCTCAAGGTTTCTAAAACGTGACTGATAAGGAGAGATTCCTACACCCTTATACAGAATGTTTTGTTTTCCTCTCCAACTGATGTGGGATCTCACAATCCACCCCCTTCGAAGCATAACATCCTCACTAACCCTCGTTCCCTTCTCTAATCTCTAATCGATGTGGGACCCCCCAATCCACCCCCCTTCGAGGCCCAGTATCCTTGTTGGCACACCATCTCGTGTCCCCGCCTTAGGGCTCAACCTCCCGGTGTGTCCACCCCCCTTAGGGTTCAACCTCCTCACTGGCACATCACCTAATATTTGGCTCTGATACCATTTGTAACAACTCAAGCGGGCTTTCTCTTTCAGGCTTCCCCTAAGGTTTTTAAAACGCGTCTGCTAGGGAGAGGTTTCCACACCCTTATAAAGAATGTTTCGTCCTCTCTAACTGATGTGAGATCTTACAAAATGCATAAAATTTTCCCTACAATGTGTTCAACGTATAATTGCCAAATCATGTAACCAAACAGTTTATAATTCACATTTAATGATTAAAAGAAAAAGATGAAATGCTTCAACTAAAGAATCTTATACGGCTAATGGGTCCAAAGTAAATGAAAACGACGACGACGATGATGATCTACCAAAAGAACACAGACTGGTTCTTGAACTTTGACCAGCAACAGTGATTTCTAATCCAGATCACATGCACGACAACAAGCAGACGCAAGCAAAGATTTAGAGACATGGGATTGGACTACCCTTCCATTATCATGCACTCAATTACGAAATTAG